CAAAAAGATTGTACAAAACAAATAACTTTGACAATACCTTAAAATTATACATAACAGGAAGTTAAAAATAGTTGTTATCTTAAGTTATTCTAGCTAAGCTTATCTGGTGATGGCCACACTAGGCAATGCCTGTATCGTGGCCACCGGAATTCACAAATACAATATAATCCGACCACAAAATTACATAAACCCACTCTCACGGCAGTGTCTTAGTATTAAATAATAAGTTAATCAAGTGTAGTACTTGTTAAGGTATATTAACTTAATGAATGTGATAAATAGAGTTACAGCATCTCATACTCGTAAATTACAATTAAATTTGAAAATAAATAGTAATATTCAATTGGGTAACAACATCGTTTTATTTTGCGTAATACAATACTAAAGATCTCTTTTGTTTTGTTTTCATGAAGCAATTTTGTTGACGAAATACATTTAAGGCAATTGAATTTACTGATAACACTGTTCAAAACTCTACCAAGTATATGGAACAATGATAACCACGTACGCTTTATATACCTAATTATCATAGTGAATACATAAAAAGTACCTGTAAAACCGCAGCAGTAAAAAAATCAAAACTTCGTCAACACAACATTTACACAAATAAAACTAATCATTGTGAAGATTTCATAAGTACAGTAACACTGTGTATTCTAAATACATCGTTCTAATAGCTATTTACAGAAAAACACTTAAAAAGTTTATTTACAAAGTAAAATGAAGTCAAATTTAAATATGAAATTCAGATTTTTTTCTCGCGTGACCGACCTGCCATGGCCGTCACTTTATTGTTGCCACATTTGGAAACACAATTACCACTATATGTGTCTTATTTCAAGGTCAAATAATTTCTTTTATTTAACGAAAAATTGGATTTTACTTTTGATTTTAATTTTGATCTATTAGTGAGAAAAATAAATTATCCAAGAAAAATAAAATTAAAAGGGGTTCGAAAATCACAACAAATTAAAAATAGCAATTTTAAAATATGCACGAAATCTTTAATTTATGTAAGTTTTATCTCAACCTTTATATGTACTTAAAACTTAAAGTCAAAATTTAACATTGGCAATTTTACAAAAACAAAATTCCATAAATAGAAGGAAAAGTCTGTATGATGGCAGCATTATCCTTAATGTCACTGTCGTTCTAATGTCAAACAATTGGATATTCCGTTTTACGCATACTCAAAATAATTTTGCAAGTACTACAGAATATCAAAAATAATAATGTTGTTATTTTATTAAATAATTCACATATCAGTCGTTTTATAATAGTAAAATTAGGTTATTTGTTATTTTACATATCAAAATAATTTATTTACCCTGAACAAAACCGGTTTTCGGTCTACTTTTTGATACTCAAAAGAGAAATTCATTTTTCTATAGAAGTATTTATATTTCTCAGTCTCAGTCTTTCTTAATATAGATTTTGTATTTATTATTATACCATCATCAAAATCTTCACAATTCATACCAAAGATTATACAAAATGCAAATAAAAGGAAATTGATTGTTAGCCAATTCAAACCAATTATAATAATTTTACTCAATTTGAACCCAAACCCATTACATTAAAAATCATATTTCTTTATCCGTCTCCTTTTATGAAGCAGATAGTGTTGTGCGCACAGAACATATTTACTCTACGAATTATTATTTATTACCGCGTTTCCATTCATTCATAAAGAAGATTTGGCATATCTTAGTGTACACTGTACAGTCAGCTTCATAAAATACTAAATATTTACGTATACAGAAACTTACGCCTTCGTTTTCAAAAATAGAATGCACAAATCCGTTGGTACATTCCGACTACAAATTCATGCTATTCACGAATTCGTTTTTTTAATCGAACGTCTATTCTATATAAGATGCTGAAGTTTTTATTTAACAATGTTGAAACATGATTAAAGGACAATAACTAATTATAAAAAAATCATCAGTTTGTGCTTTAGATGGGTTTTAATATTGTTATCATTAATGTATTTACCAAAACCAATACAAAATATGGTTATAACACATTGAGCCGTGAGCTGTTCTTGTTTTTTGAGTCACAGCTCATCGATTCAAGATTACGTGAGCTGATGTTTTGAACCAGTTTAATTTATAGCACACGTCTATCAGTAACGCGGGAAACCGCATCGCGGATGGTTGTGTTCGCGTAAATTATAAAAGTATACAAAATAGAAAAACTTTTGTAACAAAGGAACTAACGTGATTAATATTTTATTGATAAATACATGTGTTTGTGAATAACTAGTGTCGTGATTCGAATAGTTTATTACGTTAAATAAATAACAGTGAAACTGATAATAGCTGATTGTATTACAAACACACTATAATAGGTTAGTTTTGTCGTTAGTGTTTATTAACGAGTTTCTTTAAATCTGTATCTATACTATCTATACTAGTATTATAAAGAGGACAGATTTGTATTTGTAATTTTTCGTATATATTGAAATAACTCAAAAACTACTGGGACAATTTTAAAAATTCTTTCACCATTAAAAAACTACGTTATCAGTGAGTAACATACATAGACTATATTTTGTATTATTTTTAAATCTCGAGAAACAGCCAGTCGGAGATAAAAAACGATTTGCCAATTTTCTATTAGTTAATAAGCACTTTTTGGTAACTACCTGTGGCATGCAACTCCGCTTGCATGTTATTATAAAAAATTGAATAATTCTAGATTATAGATCTATTCAGTAATTCTGAAGTTACCTAAAAGTTTAGATGGATGTTTGTTAGAGTTTGTAGCCTAAACGACTGAATAGATTTCGATGAAATTTGGCATAGATGTATAGGATAGTGTGGAAGAACACATAGACTACTCACTATTATTTTTCTTAATTCCACGCGGACGGAATCGCGGGCTAAAGCTAGAAATTATCAACAAAATTCTTTAATCCTTATTTAACTGTTAATTATATTTCAATTGGTAGAGTTCAAAACGACAATCCAATCAAAAGGGAAAGTTGTTGACTTTTCTACGATACTCGTTACATTACATATACGTCCCCACCGAGGGGCTCGGAGCCTACCCTAAGTTAGTGACTAGGCCATAGTCAACCTGCACTGCGGGTTGACTTCTTTTTTTTATATTATAAGGTGGCAAACGAGCAAGCGGCCTGAATCTACCGAAATGGAAAGCGGCCGCAGCCCATAAACATCCACAATTGTAGATGCGTTGCCTATGACGAAGGAGGAGACGCACATAAAGAGGATATTTCCCCATCCTATGCGTCTTCTCCATCCAAATTCACTTTTCCGTCCCTTCCTTTCATATCAACAAAAGGGGTAGAAAGGGAAGGGGACAAAATTCAACTTCACACATATCTTTAAATTTCTTCGCCGGTAAGTGCAGGTTGCATCACGATGTTTTCCTTCACCGTAAGTTCTCGTTACGTTATGAATGACCTTAAATTATATAAGTCTAAACTATTACTAAATTGTCTGTATTTTTATTCATACTGTAAATTAACAAATGTTAGTATATAAAATCAAACAAGCCGATCCACGCGACACGCCTTGTAACATCGCGTAATGGTACACTTAGCCATTACAGCTGGACAATAGCGTTAAACTCTACTGGCATGCGTTACGCTTCCTACTGTCCCGCGGCCTGTGCATACTTAACTGACGTATATCTTGCGACTTCGTCCGCGTTAAATTAAAAAATAATAATAAAAACACAGCCTACGTTACTTACGGATAAAGTAGCTTTTTAATTGTAAAAGAATTTTTGAAATTTGCCCAGTAGTTTTTGAGTTATTTTAATACATAAAAAATACAAATCTGTCCCCTTTATTATAGTAGACTATATTATAGTAGTGTAGACTAGCTGTTGCTAGCGACTCCGTCGACGAGAAATTGAAAAATAACTATGTAACAAAGTGACAACATAACTTTTTAATGGTGAAAAAATTTTTGAAATTGACCCAGTAGTTTTTGAGTTGTTTCAATAAAAACAATAATATTAGTATAGATTAAAATTTGTAATTCTGTTAATTATCCACAGGTTATGGAAGTCAATTGAATGATAGATGATGGCAGCTTCCGGTCGGGTATCAATACAAGATGGCGGACAAGGGAATATCAAAATGCATCCGTATTTCGCGGCGCTGATGTAAGTTTTAATTTTAATATCTATACTAACATAATAAGGCGTAAACACATACTTCTTTGTTGCCTAAGATGTCAGCAATTACAGCATATTTTTGAATAATTCTTTTTTTAATAAAAAGCCCTACTTTTGCGTCACGCTTTAGGCTATATATTTTCACGCCGTTAAACTTAGGGGTAAATATTTTGGATTAAAACCTTAATGTGGGAAAGAGACCATAAGTTGCTGCCAATATCAAGGAAGCAAGATTGCCAAGGTTTGGCATGTCATGTCATTTAGACATTTGCAATTGATAATTTGACAAATGTAAACAATGAAATGTAATATTTCTATTTCTATGCGGGTGAAGTCGCATGGGAACAGCTAGTTATATTATACAAAATAAAATATGTCATTAGTGATCGAAGTATTACAGTTTGTTACGCCCCACATAGTGTGCGATAAGGACAGAGAGATGATGTCATAAGATTCCACTCAGTGGGTGCACTGCCTGGCCCCCAGATAATTGTAGACCTCAACAAACGGTCGTACAAACGTAGGAATAATGATTTCCCGGTCTCATTTTCTACCTTCTAGGATAGCATATTCTTAGAACATTGTTGGATTTACGACCGAAATCGCAATAAAGAAGTTTAGATGGATGGATGTTTGATAGAGTTTGTAGCCTAAACGGCTGAACGGATCTCCATGAAATTTGGCACAGGTTTAAAGCATAGTCTGGAAGAACACATACTCTACTTTTTATCCCGGGAATAGTTACGGTTTCCGTGGGATTCATTAATTTGGTTTTTTAATGTTTACTCGATCATTCTGCAACGGTTCAACATTTCTTATTGAAATTTGGCACAGATATAAAACAAAGTCTGGAGTACAGGGATAAGATTACCCGAGAAATGTCCGGTTCCCGAGGGATACGTAGCTTTTTGTTATTATCGTATGTTTTCTAATACCACGCGGACGTAGTCGCAAGCTAGTAATATATAAAACCTTCAATTATAATAAGGTCGAAGATAGTATCGCCGGTAATTGAACAATAATGTATAAGAAACAATTCTTATACGATTGATTCGTTAAACAATTTCGCAACAAATGGTGTAGGCCTAACAATGGAATTGTAACACGCCCCCAGACTATAACCTTTGAACTGCAAACGTCATCTCTTTTGTGTGCCAATAATAAGTCTTTCATTTGAAATTCGAACTTCGAGCAAGATTTTTGAAAATGGAATTCGATCTTTTGTAAAAAAAAGCATTTTAAAAATAGAATTTATTGAATTCGATTTTCAAATTTGAAAGCAATTATTTTCTATACATATAATAAAATTGGAGTCTCTGTTTGTAATATCAATAAAATTCAGAAAGATTGTATTTGTTGTTGATAATGAAAATAGCGTTTAAAAATGTCTGTCTTTGCAAGCCGCGTTTGTTCCGGGTAATATCCGGAACTGGGCAGATTTCGACCGGACTTTCAATGAAGGGTAGTTGACAAAGACGGGCATGTTATAGGATATTTTTTATGTTAAAATTGCGTGGACGACATCGCGGGCAACAGCTAGTTAAAAATTAAAATTCGATTTGAATTTAAAAAAAAATATGTTTTATTTCAAACCAGTATTTTATAGTAATTTTATATAAAAGTTTTTGAG